CGTATGAAAACCCTGTGATGTTGGGCCACTGCTTGGCAAGTGGAGAGTCATTGATTAAAACATCTTTCCTCCTGTACCCAAAATTTATTTCCCAAGAGTGCTTTGCTTAGGGGTTAGAGGAGAATCTTGTTCATTTGGCAGCTCATTTGAGGCTTTCAAAGTGCACACAGTGTGGTTGGTCAATGGGTGATGTGCTAGAGAAGGGAATGATGCAATCCTGGGGCCACTGACTACGGGTTTCTGAAAACACTTCATGCTTCTTAAATTTTTGAGGTTAGTTTTTGTTTTGTTTTTCTTTTTTTCTTTGAGCAATTTCCCACTTAGTGTTAATTTTAAAATTTCTTTACGCATCCATCTGTGCTGTACTTTAAGCCTACAATCCTTTTCGCTTCTGTTCTTGGTAACAGAATGTTTTGGTAGTCTTTACTTAAGCCTGGAGATTAGGCAGTTGTCAGTTTTTGTTTTGCTTGTCTCAATATCTGTTTCCTAGGGACAAAGTCATCCTGCAGATGGTTACTCCATTTCCATCACCTAACCCTGCAGCATCCATTCAGTCTTAATCAGAAAGCAGTGCTGTACAACTGTTTCTTATTATTTTTTCCCCAGTGTGGGGAGCACGCCTACTTAAGCCTTGCATGAGATCTTTTTTTCATATTACAGCCTCACATTTTGTCCCCAGACACCATATTACCTACTGTGCTTTGGAACAGGAAGATTAGCTATATGCTCCTGTAATATTTGTCAATTCTGTTTCTTACTTAGTTACTAGAGGGAAGTTTGTACATAACTTTAAGTACCATCTCTTACTTGATGCATGGACACTCTCAGAATACCATTATTGCTTCTTACTCTCTTCTTTTTCTTTTCCTTTTTTCCCCTCCCCTCATCCATCCTTCTTGTATGAGTAACAATTACAAAAGTTTCTTCTGAGGTACTGAATCGCATAAAAGGAAAGAGTTAAAAATGCTGAGCGATGAAATGTTAGTGCTACCCTTGTTTGTGTTCCTTTACTCACTCACTGAAATAAAACTGAAAAGATGAAGGAAAGTGGGCTGACAACTTCTGCCATTTTTTATCAGTTAATTTTCCCTTTTCTTTTCCTGGAGACTTAACTCAGCATCCAGGCTAAAGGGTAGAATTTTAGACTTTGGAGGATATGCTTGTTAAATGTTTTGGAAAAGAGAAGTGTTGGTTTTATGATTTACTGAAAACTGCCTTTACTCTCTCTTTCACAGTTTAATCCCTCTGATATATGCTACTTACTTTGTGACCATATTTCCCCTTAATATTTAGTTGAATCATTACATACCTGTCAGATTTTAGGCTTTTGGGCAAATGTTAAAAACATGTCTCAGCCTCCAAATTAACAGTCATACTTACCATTTATGTAATGCTTGCAATTCCTAGAAAAGCTGCCTTGGTTGGAATTTAATAGCATTATGCTTGATGTTTTTGTTCAGAGTGTTTAAATCAATTTGCAGACAAGTGATTTAATTTTCTCCTTGCTCTATTGTTTTATCTTTGTCTGCTAAGGAAGTAGGTTAATATTTCCACTCAGCAAAATGGGAATAATCTGAAATATGGAGATGAGGAACTTGAGGCTAATTTGTAAATAGGTGTTTTTCTTATTATTATTAAGCTACACTTCCTATTTGCTATTTTATGATAAAATTACAGCTACCTTATTTCTGTTCAAATAATTAAGTTTCAGCTCCCAAGAGATACATCTGGGTGTTTATTTTCTCTGCTGCATGCTTTGAAATAGATCTTGGGAATTTGAACAGGATGCACAGATTTTATTCTGCAAACCTTATTTTTAGTAAAAATAATTATTTGATTTTTTCATCTATTGAAATGAATGACAATAATTCCACTGTGAAGTCAGTTAAGGATCTACACATAGTTTTTTTCATCACCCCTTAATCAAGGAGTGCTTTTAGGAAACATAGCAAGTTCATTTACAGGCAATGGTGATGCTTCTTATTTAGGAGTTAATGGTCATGAGTGACTGCATCCTTTGTCTTGTTAGTTGGACAGTTATAGGTAAACTGTCACCAATATAAAGATTAAGACAGGAACAGAAGTTTAATTATTAAGCTTCTAAGTAGTGTGAATTCTCATTTCTATTATGTATTCATAAGAGCTTGGGAATTGTCCAAAGGACTAAGTGTGCTTATTGCTATGTCCTGATTTGTGCTTTTCTTTTACAACACGTTGCAATAGATGGCCAGGTGGTTAATGATCAACACATTTCTGTGTATTTTGGAACGCTGGTATGAAATGAAATGGATTTCTCTACAAGATTTTTAAGTCCACCTGAATAAAATATTAGTGCTTCTGGAGAACAACTGTTAATCCTCTAATTTTTGAAGACTCTGGTGTGTGTTAGTACTCTGGCAAGTGTGTGCTTCAGACACAGTTATTTAGCACCAGGACTGTAATGTGCCCCTGCAGAGTTCTTTGCTATGGATCAGCAGGATATGCAGTAGAAGTGCACAGAATGTGTTTTGAATTGATTGCTTTTTTGGTTTTGAATGAGCCTTGTGGTTAATAAAGTGTAACCTGAATGTAGTTAAGTAACTTGTTCATTTAATTATCACACTCTACAATTTTTATGATCCTGTCTTGCCTCAGTGCTGGCTGTTGTCTTGATCACTAACTTTCTCTGAAGTTGATGGGAGCCAAAGTTTGCTTTGTAAGACTGTGGGCTTGTTCTGACCCAGATGTTAGATCTCACTTTTGCAGTCACTGGAGATGAACTGAGATGGAAGAAATGAGAAGGACCTCTTACGAAGCCCACTAACTTCAGGACATGTTTTATAAGCATGACATTAAGCTAGGTTTGTGCAACTCAGCATTTTGTCTTTTTAAAACTGCCACTGCTCAACTGTAGTACATTTCTTATACCCATGTCTATCACATATGCTTTTTCTTCCCATTGTTAATTCTACTGAAAAAAAGTGTGTATGAGTGGGGGGGGCTTCATTTTTCAGCATAAACTGTTGCTTCTAAAATCAGTTATTACCTAAAGTTGTAATAAATTAGATTCCTGTCATCAAAAGAACTTAACAAGATAGAAGTTCCCTTGTTATGTGAAAGTATGTGCCAAAGTCCTTTGCTGAATCAGTTGCTAAGTTATACTGCAGATTTTTTTTTTCTCTACATAATGTAAACAGAAAAAAGATACAGGTTTAATGAATAGAGACTTTGTGCTCACTTGCACACTTCCTTCTTGATAAGGAGGATGAATTTTTTAAATAATTTTCTTGCCCCAAGAGCATGAGAGACATGGACATTTAACTTTTTAGAATCAGAGCAGCTGTTCCAATTTGCATCTGCAGTTTCTAGAGACATTTGAAAGTGCATTTCAGGTCATTTGGGTTGATTTACATTCTGCTTGAAGTTGGTCGACTACTAGCAGTATTTTCTGGGAGGTTAGGAATGATTGTTTTTCTTCACTGAACCTGTATGATGTATATTGTATGTTGAACTGGTGGCTAGGAGATTAGATGAAATTTTAATATTATGTGTGGCTCCATTCTTCTGAGTTATCCTTTCAGAATGTAGGTGTTGCTGGTAGTTGCTTTACAGTGTACCTAAACAATAGCAGTTTTTCTGTTGTACTGGAAAAAAATGCGATATAAGCTTCTGAATGAAGCTTGCTTACAAGAAGAGTTTACAGGGAAGTTTGAAAAGAGTTTTAACCCAACAGTGAGAAAAAAAAAGTGGAGGAAAAGTGGTGATTGTGAGCTGAAACATACCATGAATGCATCATAAATTTGTAATGAGAAACATAATATTTTGAGTGTTTGTCTGTGATGTACTGATAATTATCTGAAATGAGAGGGCTAGGGGGAGTTGGGAAATAGCAGGGAAGATAATGAATCAAGTCTTATCTGAAGTTAGCAGGCAAAATATTATGGCTTAATTAAAATTCTACTGTACATGCAAAAAAATACAAAACACACATACCAAACAAAAATATTCTGCAAGCAATGATAAAAATAATCAATTATTTACTGTGTTTGTAATGTTAAAATATTTTACCAAGGCAAGTTGCAGTCAAAAGTAATGTGAGTTATTTTGAAAATGGAAATACATAAAGATGCATTTATACAAGTGCAAGACTAAATATTTTACATAACTGTATTTCAATGAGAAGGTATACAGTAAGTGCACACTTGATAACACTAAGCAGGCAAAACTTAACGTTAGTTCCATATACGGTCGTATAGTTCATGCACAGATCTCTCCCAGAGTAAAGGGGCTGTTCCAAATAATTCTTGCTGGGATGAAAAACAGGATGGGTTGCTGGTAAGGGTGGCAGCATGGATGGGGGTCAGTTATAGACATTACTTACTGTAATTTGTGATTGCCGTGGGAGAGGAGTGGCTGTTGGTGTAATGGTAATACTGCTGGTGATTTTATTGGTGGGCTTACTGGGCAGGCCATTAGCTAGTGCTGCTGTTCTGTTGTCTTGCACTGGATTACAAGGACTGGTGGGCTTGGAACTGGTGAAAGATTGGACATAAGGACTTCCTAAATGGATGTGGATTTTGTTATCCTCAGTAGTTATTACACTTGATCCTGTGCTGTTAGATCTCTGAAACTGCCATGATGACTGCCTGTCTGGGGATACTCTAAAAACAGTGTGCTTGGCTCCCATTTCCAAAGACTCTGAGGAGAGTATTTGTTCCTGAGAACTTGAGCCTGGTAAAGCCAAAGGGGACATTGTTCTTTCAGGAGTTAGAGAACCACATGATTCAGGAGTTTGAGATCTTGCAAAAGTAGCCATAGTAATTGGAGAAATTACTTGCTCTGGGCTCATGTAACCTTCTGCTGCTTTTGATTTTACAGGTGTTAAGGAGGCATTTTGAATAATGGTTATTCTTTGCTTTGGAGTGCCACAGTTTGGTATAACTGCTGTGCTTGTGTAGGAGTGAGGACTTTCAGTGGTAGGACTAGTTATTTCAAGTGTTGCTGTGTTCTGTCCATGGTCTGGAGTTACTTTGATGTGAAGAGGTTGGCCAGGGGTATGGCTTAGCACGAGGTCGCCAGTCTGTGCACAGTTTCCATTTTGCTTTGTATGAATCTTTCCATTTTGAGGGTGGCTGTCTTTGGACTTCATCCAAGGGATCCATAATTTTTTGTTGACGGCATTTGTAATGGATGAGTTGCTTTTGAAAGACATTCTCTGTTCTTCCTCATTATTGTCTTTGTCCTCATTATCGCTGTCTTCATACAGCTGCCCATTTATGACTGTTCGTTCTAAAGGCATGAGGGTTTTGTAATCAGGTGGTTCATTGTCTCCCAGATCTGTCTGGACTTCTTTAGAAAAAACTTGCAAATCAGAAATTCTCCTTCCATTGAGACCAGGCCTGAAGTTCTTGCTGAAGTGTCTGTACCTCTCTAATTCTTTTGTGAGACTTTCCATTTCTTTTGCTAACTCCCTGTTCTTGTTTTCTTGCTGGAGGAGTTTCTTCTGTAAGACTGTATGATCACCTCGAAGATGAGAGATTAGATCTTCTTTTGCCATGTATTCATGAATTTTCTCTTTCAGTGCATCTACTTCTCTGGAAAGATGACTTGATTTAGCTTCCTCTTCTTTGAGCTTCTTAAAAAGACGCTGTTCTTGATTGGACTCTGCCTTTTCTGTTAACTTATACCTAGCCAATTCCATTTTCACAGCCTCCAGCTCCTCTGATAGGAGCTTAGATCTGTCCCGTTCATTGACATACCTTCGTTCTAGAGATTCGAATTCATCTTCAGTTTTCATAAGATCATCTTCTATAGCCTTCATTTCTTTCAGCTTTTGCTTAAGCCTCTCCACTTCTTGAGAAAGCTCTTTGATTTTGTTGTTCTCGTGTTGCAAGGAGGTGCTGGATTTAGTATTCTCCTTGAGTTTATTTTTAAGATACTCTTTTTCAACAGCTTCCAGTGACTGAAGTCTTTTTCTTAGAACATTCACTTTGGAAACAAGATCATCTCCTTTCTCCTCTTCTGCTTTGAGTTTGTTTTTCAGTTCATCTCTTTCTTTTGTAACGCTGGACATCTTTTCCTCTGCATCAGATTTTGATTTGAGTGCCTTTTTACTTTCCTCAATTAACTTTTCTGTAACAGACATCACTTTATTTTGTTCCAACTGAAGCTGAGAAGTTGCAGCTTGCAGCTTTTCTTCTGTTTGCTTTATTTTTTCACCCATTGTTTTTCTTTCGTCCACAAGCATCACTGTTAAACTCTTCAGCTTTGTTAAATCTTCTTTAAGTGTAAACTCAGTTTTTTCTAACTTACTTTCAATTGCTTCAAGCTCACCAATTCTAGCTTTTAAGCCATCTAGCTCATGGGACAACTGCTGTGTTATCATTTTTTCTCTTTCTAGGTTGCATTTCAGGGAGTAGCAGTCCTGTTTGCTCTTGTTGAAAGCATCTTCTAGTTTCTCCAGCTCCATAATTCTTTTGTTGAGTTTGTCAACTTCCCCTTTAAGGTTCCTGCTCTGTGATGCTTCTTTTTCTAATTTTCTGTGAAGTTCTCTGCACTGGTCTTCCATTTTTATGAGCTCTTCATCTTTTCCTTCCATCTCCAGCAGTCGTTTCCGTAGTTCTTCCACTTCAGTCATAAGTGTGGCGTTCCCACACTCTCCCTTGTTTATCTTATCCCTTAGGTCTTGCAGTTCTTCCTCCGCTTTTCTTAAAGATTTATTGGTCTCTTCCAGCTCATCAATTTGTCGGCTGAGAGCAGTTAATTTTATTCGGAGCTGACGATTCTGACTGTCTTCGTTGGTTAGTTTGGCCATCATTGCTTCTTGGTTTTGGGAAATCTTACTGCTTTGGGCTTGAAGTTCAGCCTCCAGCCTGCTGGCTTTCTGTTCTTCTTCCTGAACTTTGGCTTCAGCAAAAGCCAGCTTCTCGTGTGCTTGTTCTGCAGAAGTGGTTAATTCTTGAATTTTTTTACTTTGTTGATTCAACTCGTCAGTAAGTCTTTGCTGTTCATCCACCACCATTAAAGCAAAGGATTTCAGTTTTGTCAATTCTTCTTTCAGTTTAGCTATTTTCTTGTTGTTTTCCTTCTCTATTTTTGCCTGATATGCTGTTTCCTGTTCAAGAAGCTTTTTCAATCTGGGGGGGGAAAAAATACAATATTTTATAGCCGTTTTAATGGACATTTAAAAACATACCTGAAATATCATGGCATCTCTGCCGGATGTGCATGAACTTGTAACTACAAGCAGACCTCTCCTAGTTGTGTCATGGGGCCCACAGGTCTTATTTTCTACTCAGAATATCTTTTGTAATAGACACTTCAATGTGATAATTTAGACTTCAGTAATTATGCATCTTTGATTGCATTTTCAGCTTTTGGCAAGTATTACTGTGACTGAACTTTCTGTTAATCTACACCAACCAGCACTGATCTTGGCTGTTTGCTGACGTTAGTTATGTGGTGCGGGTGTTTTTAAGAAATGTGTTTATCAAAGCAGTTGAGAAATTAAATCAGTGCAGGCATCAAGGGAAGGTATAATTTACAGCAGCATAAACCTCCTAATAGCTTTAAGTTACTTATAAACTATCCTGATGTTTTATGATGTTTCATGGTTAAACCTTATGGGTATTATAGTATGTGAAAGAACTGTAGCAGCATCAGGGAGTCAGTCAGGCTGCCTATTGTCAATTTCTAAGCAGAGCAAAATCAAACATTGTAGGTAAGTCAGTCCTCAGTGAAAATGCAAGCCTTGTGATCTTGTATCATACATACATTTAAAAAAAACAAACAGCAGATAAGCAAGTGTTTGAATTGTGCCCTTTGAACTTCAGAAAGGCTAAAGTTCTTGCTGTCTGTTAGGTGTGGATTCAGTCTCACCTCCATAACTTGTAGATACATACCCAGGTGCAACCCTGCTTTTACATGATTCTTGAAAGTTTTCACAATGTTTTTCCAAAATTAGTTTTACATGTTTAATTTAGTACTCAGTATTAAGCAAGGTGCAATATACTTAACTGGGGACAAGGTTGTACTTTTGTTTGTGTAAGATCCTAAGAAACCTCCAAATACCTAAAAAAAATTGCTTCTTTTGTAGACTCCTTTGTCAGTGAGATGGCTGTGGAGTTGTTCAGTATGCTATGATTAGGTTTGGCCAGCACATTTGCCTTCTTTCAATTAGATTTTTGAAAGATTGTTGTAATAGGAAGTAGCAATAAACAGAGTTGATGTGGAAGACTTAAGAAAGCCCCAAATTCTTTACAACAGTCAATTAACATAAAGGGAAAAACAGACATGAAAAAGTTAAGTGAAGAGGGACAGAACTGTGAAGTGAGCTTGAACGAATGCTGCTGGTTGACAGAATAGAAAAAATGGGGAAAGGACTGCACCATCTTCAAAGACAGCTTTTTACTGTGTTGTTGGTACGTAAACTTTTGTCCACTTCTCAGTGCTACTTCCAATTTGAGGGTTTTTTTTTTAGTGTAAAACTCTCTTCCCTCCCCACCCTTGACTCTAAATGCTTTAGTAGTGAAGTTCAATTGATGATTTACCGTTGCTATAGATACAAAACCATAACAGAAGCATAACTAACAATTTCATTTGGAATGAACTCAGTTTTTGTGTGTGCATGAAGTAAAGACATCTTTTATTCATACTGTTAAAATAGATTTATTAGCATTTATTTTAGCTTGCTTCACAGTAGTTTATTTTGGTAAGGCAAATTTAACTAGGGTATTAATAACTAAACTAAACAGTGTTTTACCCAGCACTTTCATATTAACTAGTTGATAATCTCTCTGTCCAAATGAAACTGTAATGCTTTGCTGACTGATGCCCCTTAAACTGCTTTAGAAAGAAAACTCTTAGACCGAATAGTAACCAACAATTGTAATTTTCATAGGGATGCTGTATTGTTTTTTATTATATAAATAAGACAACTGTGCATAAATAATAAAATCTGTTTATGAATGAATGAATAAACCCAGCAGTCCTTCCTGTGAGCATCAGTCTGTATAATTTGTATTTTTTCCTGTAATCTTATCTGCAAATATTTCTAAACCCCAAGATCTGTTTCTTTTTTGAAAAAACATTTGTATAAAATCTCTCCATTCAAGTTAAGTTGCAGAGAATAGTGCAGAAGCTGTAAGTTAAAGGATTTTAATGTGCTTCTAAAAAGGAATGAGGGATGTATTAAGCATGTGGGTTTGTTGTTGTTTTTTTCTTTTGTATTGTGTAGTTAAATAAGTTTTTACATGTGTTTTTGATAGCTGCATGTTTATTCATATATTCCTATGCAGAAATATTTCTGTATTACTATACAGAAAATGCCCTCAACAGTGCTGAATAGATAGTAATTTCTTGGATAGAGTTGATACTGATATTGTACAAAGTCAACTGGGAGTCTGTTAATATTTGCAGAAGAATTTTTCCTTGGCTGTTGAATTCCTGTTTCATGGTTCAGTAGGTCACAACAAATCTGTCTGTGCACATGCACTTAAGAATGGAAGAGGACCATAAAATGTTTGGGGTTTTGGCGGGTTTTTTTGGTTGTTTTGTTCGGTTCTTTTTTAAAATTAATAATTTGGTTTTGGTCAGCTTTTTTGGGGAGCCTGACTTCTGCAGGTCAGGGCTGGATTATGTATATAATTTGAATTAGGCAAATCACAGGTTTAATTGAAGAAGTGCTGTAACTGATAATAACAGCACTTTGATATTTTGCGTACTTTCTGTGACAGAATCCAAATGCTATTGTGTTCATCCAAAATACAATCTTCATAGAATCATAGAATGGTTGGAGTTGGAAGGAGACTTTAAGATCACTGAGTTCCAACTCCTGCATAAGCAGGGACACCTCCCACTAGATGAGGCTGCTCAGAGGCCCATCCAACCTGTCCTTGAAAGCTTCCAGGGTTGAGGCTTCCACAACTTTTCTGGGCAGTCTGTTCCAGTGTCTCACCATCCTCATCACTACTAAAGCATTTCCTTCTGATCTCTACCCTAAATCTCTCTATGTTTAAAACAATTGCCCCTTGTCATATCACTACCTGCCCTTATAACAAGTCCCTCCCCAGCTTTCCTGCAAGCCCCCTTCAGGAACGAGAAGGCTGCTATGAGGTCCTCCTGGTGCCTTCTCCAGGCTGAACTGCCCCAACTTGATCTTCCTGAAGAAGAGTATCCAAAGTATTTGAGAGAGCAGTTTTATAAAAAATATGCAAAGTTCAAAAAAAGTTGGCTTAAAAAAATTATCAAAAAACCTCTAGGCATACCCCTGTCCAATAAAGTATTTTTATTATTTTTATTTCCAACTGAATTTCATGATATTGTAATTTCATATCAGGGAAAGGTAGGTATATCATCTAAGCAAAGTTTTCACAGGTACTTCCAAGCAATTGACTTCAAAGGACTAAAGGAACCCTTTCTGAGTCCAGACCAGCAAAAATGGGCATTAGAAATTGTTTTTATGACATGAATGTTAGGTAGTTAAACGAAATCAAAGCAGTGTCATTACTTTTTTCTTTAGAGCTTCTGCTATAAATGACTGCTTTGTGTCTTACTATAGTTCTTGCTTGGAATACTAGTTGCCTGCTTTTTTATTTCCTTAAAGAAATTGTGTTTGTCAGCTCTCCTCTGCTCATTGTAATCACCTTCCTCAGTATACATTCTATAGAATAATAAGAATTTAAATTACTACTTTTTCCTTTAAGCAATCTCATTATAACTTTAGAAAAAGTTGCATTCTTTAAGGCTTGTAAAGCTGTACTTGTATAATTCCTTTCACCAAAGTATTGAGAAGATTTTAATACACACCTTATCAAGATCTTAATTGTTACCAGCTCATTGTGCAGAAAGGACTGAGATTTTTAATGTCTGCGACTTTTACTGTTTGTAAGCCTTAAAGAGATATATTTGTATCTAGCTCATGTGCTCTTCACTCTTCCCCATTAAAAGATGGGGCTTACTATGGGGCTTACTACTCCTTACATGAAGGAGACTCTTCTAAAGTTTTTGGACATGTGCTTAAGTTTCCCCTTGTACAAAGCAAATAAAATCAGTAAGCTGAAAGCTTTTAAATGTAGATGAAGTAATTCCTCTTGGTCTGAGCATTCTTCCCAGTTAGCAATAAGCCATGGTCTGGCTTTCAATATGAGAAGAAACAAGCTTCATCATTTCCGCTAAGTCTTACAAGTTGTTGTAATTTTTTACACCAATGCAGTTAAATTTTCATTTTTGGAAGAAAGCCAGCCTGTCTGTGCCTTCCACGGTTTAAAGCAGCAAAATCTGGGTTTGTTAAAATGGGTTTCTGGTCTTGGAGTGGTTATGCATTTTCTTTTCTTCTTGGCCTACAATTCTGCTTATTGATGTGTAGTTTTTATGAATTCATATGTTATAGCTACTTTTATGACTCTATTTATTAACTTTATTGATGCTTCTTTTTTGCCCCTGTCATAAAGTCAAAGCCTTTGAAATTACAGCAGCAGCAACATACCATAGCTGTTGTGTAATCTGTTGGCTTTATCTGAATCAGTCAGCACTTCCCAGCAGAATGTGAACACTTACTTTAAAATTTGTTTTCCAGTATATTGTTTACATATGTATATTTTAAGTAATTAGCTTATGCTCTGATGCAAACTTCCACAAAGGAAGGGTGTCTCACCTGCAAGAGACTGTGTGTAAGGCTAAATTCCTCATGAAGAAATTTATTTTGTAAAATGAGGACTTCCAGTGAGGGGTGTATGAATTCTGCTTATTACTCCACAAACTACCAGAGAGTAATCATTGTTTTATCTGATGCTTAAAATGCTGACGTGCTTTTAGGAGTCTTAATAAAAGTTATATATGCTGAATGGTGATGCCAGTTCTGGGTTAACTTGACAACATTTCACCAGATAGATATAGCTGTGATGCTGAGTAATCATATCCAGATAATATTTTAAAAAATAATTAATCTGGAACCTTGTGACCATGTTTTCACAACTCCTAAGCTGCTGAAAATTCTTTCTGGTGATATATGGATCCTGGTACTCATAAATGTTTTGAAATCCTGTGTAAATTTAGTGACAGTAAATGTAATGAGAAATTTTTAACAAATTTATGTTGGTTATTTTAAGATTTAAGACTGGATTAACATTCACTTCTA